GTAATTAAATTGTAAGTTAGAATTAATTTGGTGGCACATGATTACTATATGGTGAGAAAAGCAGTTGGTGTGTGTGTTTGTGTGTGTGTGTGCGTGCTTACCACATGAACACATGCATGGACATACACAGAGTTTGGGCAGGGGAAACTTACAGCAAGGAAGGAACGCAACGCCTATTTCCAGCATTTCCGTATCTTAAATGTTTATATTTTTGCCATCTTGGATTCATAGTACAGTGGTGCCCCGCATAGCGAGGTTAATCCGTTCCGGATTAACCTTCGCTATGCTGAAGCATCGTTAAACGGTACAGAAAAACCCATTAGAACGCATTAAACATGGTTTAATGCGTTCCAAATGGGCCAAATACTCACCGTTTAACGAAGCTTCGTAATGGCCGGCAGCCATTTTCGCGCCCTCGCCTCGCTTAACGAGGGCGCGAAAACGCTGCGGGCGGCCATTTTAGGCCATTTCCCGGCTTCCGGCGGCCATTTTGGCCGCCGAACAGCTGATCGGCGGGGGTCGTTTTGCGAAGATCGGTAAGCGAAACGCTTACCGGTCTTCGCAAAGCGAATTTTTCCCTATGGGAAAAACGTTGTGCAATCGCATTTAGCGATCCGAAAAAACGGATCGCTATGCGATTTAATCGTTATACGGTGCGCTCGTTAAGCGAGGCACCACTGTATACGTTTATTGGTTTCGCTGTTTTTAAAAATTTGTAATGCCGCCCAGAGTAGACCTTTGGTCTAAATGGGCAGGGTAGAAGTCTAATAAATAAATAAATGAAAGTAACTTGTCCGATTTCCATGGACCGTCAGCAAGCATGACGGCGGGGATTCAGGAAGCTCTACCCCGCAATGTGACTTTTCCATGCTTTGTATTTATTTCCTCCCTTGCTTCTCCCTTGCTTGTCCTGCAACAGTGGTGCTCCATTAAAAAAGAAAAGAACAGAAAATCCATACACATGGGATTCCAGCAAAAACATAAAGTAACTTGTCCGATTTCCATGGACCGTCAGCAAGCATGACGGCGGGGATTCAGGAAGCTCTACCCCGCAATGTGACTTTTCCATGCTTTGTATTTATTTCCTCCCTTGCTTCTCCCTTGCTTGTCCTGCAACAGTGGTGCTCCATTAAAAAAGAAAAGAACAGAAAATCCATACACATGGGATTCCAGCAAAAACATTTATTTGCATATGCTGTGCAGATATTTCTGTAACGTCAAGTGACACCCAGTCTCTGGCTTTAACGTCTATTTTAAGGTGCTTAGTTGAAACTGTATCGTTTGCTGACATGCTCTTTCTTTCCTCTCTATCTGAAGCAACCTCAAGTCACCAAAAGTAAGAACAGGGAAGCTGCTCTGTTATCCTGATCCTTCCTCACCTCCAGTTACAACCTCTGACATTCACCTTGAATACTAAAGGAGCCTTACAGCTTTCTGTTCTAGTTCCCCAAATACCTTTCTGATCTTCTCCATCCAAGTTAAGCCTAAATGGAAATGGTCAGTCTCAGGGTGACAGTTTTTTACCAGTGGTATGGCAGAGCACAGTTTGGAAAAGTTACAGTGGTGCCTCGCTTGACGAGGATAATCCATCCCATTGAAATCGCTGTTAAGCGAAATCCTCATCAAGTGAAATTAAAAAGCCCATTAGAATGCATTAGAAACCGGCTAATGCGTTCTAATGGGTGAAATACCTCATCGTAAAGCGAAGATACTCCATAGGGCAGCCATTTTCAGGTGCCTGTCTTGCAAAAAATGCCTCCTAAAAACAGCAGGGGTCCATTTTGAGAGCCGACGGCCATTTTGAAAACCACCTATCAGCTGTTGAAAAAACATTGTTTAGTGAAAAATCGGTTCCCGAAGCAGGGAACCGATCATCACTAAGTGAAAAAAATTCATTCCAACATCGTTCTGTGATCGCTTTTGTGATGACAAAAACATCATCGGGAAGCAGATTCATCGTTAAACTGGGTAATCGTCAAGCGGGGCACGACTGTACTTAGTTTGGACGGAAATTCCTAGTTTGAATGGTTTGTGGTAAGGTGGCTGGATAGCTCAGTGAGTTAGCTATCTAGTTGCAGAGCCAGAGGTTGTATCCCAGAAGGGGGCCTTGGGTAGCCTTGGGAAACCTGCACAGTCCCAGGGCACCCCCCAGAAGAAAGGAATGGGAAACCACTTCTGAGTACTCTCTACCTAGAAAACCCTGGAAAGGATCACCATAAGTTGAAATTGATTTGACGGCATGCTATTTATTACTATTATTCAAAAATACTGGGTACAGTCAATCAGAATTATAAAAACATTGACATATTATACAACAGATACAAGCTTTAACCAAAAAACATGTATCTGTTAAATATCGACTTAGTATATATGCTGTTCATAATATTGTCATTTTTTGTTGCTCTGATGATGTTATTTATGAGATCTGCAACTGCTTATAATACTGTGTGAAATTTGCTGCTGCTACTACTACTACTACTACTACTACTACTACTACTACTACTACTTATTATTATTATTATTATTATTATTATTATTATTATTATTATTATTATTATTATTATTATTATTATTATTATTATTATTATTATTATTATTATTATTATTATTATTATTATTCTTATAGTACTGTGTAAAATTTCTTGATATTGTTCCCAAAGCCGAAATGACTACAGGGACCACTGAAGTGTGTTTCACCCACAAGTGAGATATTTCGATTGACCGGTCTTTTTACTTTGTTAGTTTTTCCAATTCTTTATTTTCAACTCTAGCATCTCCTGGAATTGCAATGTCAATGATCCAGACCTTTCTTCGTTCTATTACTACTATGTCTGGTGTGTTATGTTCGAGGTGTGTGTCCGTTTGGATCCTGAAATCCCACAAAATCTTGACTTCCCCATTTTCTGACACCTTCTCTACCTGATGTTCCCAGTGCACTAACTTGGCCACTCTCTCGTGTCTGACTTTGTAATCTCTTTGTGCAATCTCTGGACATTCTCAGATGAGGTGTGACACAGTTTCATCTTTTTCTTGGTGTGACAGTTTTTTCTTCTTCTTTTTCTCCTCCTCCTCCTCCTTCTTCTGTGGCCACGCCAGTTTAGAGGCACTTTTAGCTACGCTGTGAAACAGTATATCAGGCAAAGTCCAAATGAACAAAACAAAACAAGATAAAAATATGTGGCAAGGACTGTTATATTTTAATGTGAGCTTTCATGGACCCGTCCACTTCGTTTTCTTTTTCTTCTCTGGATTTTGCCTGATGTGCTCGCACAGACTAACACAGCTGCCTCTTCCAAAATGACAGCTTGAAGCAGGCAATTGCTCCAAGTTCTGCAAGGTAGTACCATAAATAATGAACTCCACAAACTTTTTTTTTGTGTAAGTTTTTTAAAATGGATTCCTTCAGAAGCTTGTCAAGATCTGGGGTAGTTGTCTTTATTGAGGGAGGGGAGAACATCCTTACGTGGGTAGAATTGGGATCACTGTCACCTGCACTGGGAGAAAAAAATAGCACCTTAATTCTGCAGTTGCTGAAGGGTAGGGGCAGTACACGCAACATCTCTGGTAGCCCAAACTGGGAGAGATGATATTACGAATATGGCTTGAGCAGGAGGCAGAGGCTGTTGAACCAGGACCAGCAGTCTGTTCAGGGATTGCTGAAAAATATATGAATCCAAATATATATTCAGCATTTTGCACAAGTGTGCAAGAAGTGCGGAAAGTCATTTTTTAAAAAAGAGGCAACCGAAGCATTTAGGCTTTCCCTAAGCTGAATACTTCCCTTCCTTGCAACCACTGAGAATGGCTATCGTGGTAGGTACAGTGGTGCCTCGCTAGACAGTTACCCCCATGATAGTTTTTTTAAACATTTTGCGATCGCTATAGCGATTCGCAAAACAGTGATTCCTATGGGGGAATTTCACTGGACAATGTTTGGTCCCTGCTTCTCAAACCGATTTTCGCTAGACAACGATTTTGACAGCTCCCTTCGCGCTCGCAAAACGGGTGTTTTCGGGACCTAAGCTTCGCAAGACAGCGATTTAAATAGCTGATCGGCGGTTCACAAAGCGGCTTTCCTATGGCCGATCTTCGCTAGACAACGACGATTCTTCCCCATTGGAACGCATTAAACAGGTTTCAATGCATTCCAATGGGGATATGCTTTTCGCTAGACAATGATTTCGCTAAACAGCGATTTCGCTGGAAAGAATTAACATTGTTAAGCGAGGCACCACTGTACAAACTTCCATGTCTTCTCCCTTGTTTCTCTCCTTACCCGTGGTGTGTGAGAGAGTGATGGGGAGAGCACTAGCACTGCCAAGATCACCTGGTCCACAGGACCTTTAGAAAAGCCACGTGACAGCGTAACATTCTAATATAGCCACAGGGTACATTCCGTTGTGGATCTGCACCCTGGAATCCATAGGCGAGACACAAGTGCACCTGCAATTTGCTCCTACATGTGGTAGGTCATATGTATGCACATCTGATTCAAGCATTATACTCCTGGGCCAGTGTTTGCCAAACACAGAGATGGAACAAGCGTATGGGTAAGGCCGGGAAGGAGAACGCAGTCTTGTCCCCTTCTTTAGTGCTGGAGAGAGATTGGGCGTGAGATACTGTACTGTCCAAACCAGTCCTTTTGCCAAATCAGGGGAGGTGTTTGTTTACTGTCATGAAGCACGGAAGGGGATGCCAAACAGTTCACATTGCTGTGCTTTGCAGAATCTGCAGCAAAGGCATTCTAGTGGATAAAATATGCATGTTTTGTAAGAAGCGGCTAACCTGATGCTGGGGGGGGGGAGGAAAAGAGGGAAGAGGAAAAGATGGTTTACATCTTCCTGCGGATCCGCTCCAGGTCTCCTTCATTCACATTCTCCCCTGCTTCTTAATAATGAGCTTTGAGCGTGCCACGAAGGCTGTGTTTCTGCTGCAGTATTGTTGCTCCAAACGAGGCTGCTTCCCAGTAACCCCATATACCTGCTCTGGATGTTTTGCAGTCTGGAGGCTGCCAGCATTGGATTCATCATCATCATAGACAGACGGCGGGACAAATGGAGCGCAGTCAAGGCATCCCTCACGCGAATAGCAGTAAGTGCCTGGGACATGTGCATATTTTATTTTGCTGCTGTTTGCCTTCTGCCAGTGTTCACCTCTTGCATTTTGCTTTGCTTTCGTTCCTTCGGTGGCTTAGCTGTGCAGTTGCATCCACTGCCCTGCCTGATTCCTGCCCCCTTTGCATGCTAACCAAGCAGGGTTTGCCAAGGAACAGACGTACAGACCGGACAGTTTGCCTTGTTTCCCATTAAACCAGACCGAGATTGCTCCCATCCAGGAAAGAAATAAGGACGTGGATGTATTTCTGCAGCACGCTGCAGCCTGCAAATGGTTTTGCGGCTCTAATCAGGAATGGTGTAGTGCTAGCAGGGTTATCTAAGGCCAACCGCTGCCCCCCCCCCCAATTCCTGAAGCTCAAGCCTTAGGGCAGGAATGAGTAAGCTTTCTGCTTCCTGTCTTCACCATTCCTCCACCCACCCAACCTCAATTGGGGAAGGAAACACAGATGGATCATCCATGTCTGCAGTGGTCACTAAGGACCAAATTAGATGGTGACATATGGGAGACAAGGGACCTCTCCCCCAGTATTGTTTTTACCTTAAAGCAGCCACATGGGGGCTCAGCATTTGATTGGAAGAACTGTATGGGAAGGAAAGAGTGCTTAACTCTTTCTCTGCTGTTTTCCTAATCATGATTGTTCCTTACTCTACACCAGGAGGGTTCCCACCCAGAGATGCCAGGTCTGTTTACTTCTCAGTTTTGTTTGGAAGGACCAGAGTGTGCCGTTCTTCTTTTCGCTACTGCAAATGATAATGTGAAAATTCTGTGGTTGTTTTTTTAATAGGAGCCTTCCAGAATTCACACATTTCTTCATAAACGTGGCAGAAAAAAACCCAAAAATTAAAATATTTGTCTGTGGGAGAAAGGAAGACGTTGAGCTTAATGCTGGTCCTCCAAAGGGCTTTGCTGGGCTCAATATCTAAATCTGAATCACTAGACAAAATGCTGTTGATTTACATTTGTGCAAGTTCAATTGCTTAACTCACTATTGTCAATGGCTACTCTCCAGTTGCCTGATTAGGCTTGCACCTAGTTTGTTGGTGGCAGTTGTGAGTTGCAGAGTTCAGTCTTGTTGGTGCTGCTGAATTGGTGCTGTCCCTTTTTTCCAAGAGGGATTACCTCATATTTAGCATCTACATGGCAAGGAAGGACATGATGTTTCCTGTAGTGGAAACCACTGTGCCCACTGAATTTGGCTAATGCAGATGGTGGGGACTTTTATTCAGTGTGAACTAGATGAAAAATTAGCCGAATTGGCAAAGAATGTGAGCTTAAAGCAATTCATATGTGGAAGAAACTGGACAGATCAAGTCTTCTCCAACCACTGCTCAAAGCAGATCAGGACCCTTTCATAGCTATATTAAAGTAAAAATAATAAAGAGAGGGAAAGAGAGAGAATATTTTCCTTGTCACATACTTGAATCAATATAAAAATGCACTAAAAAGGACGCAGGGAAAAATGTAGCACTGAAAAGGGTCATACCATATTTTTCGCTCCATAAGACGCTTTTAATTATGGTGCGAAAAACACGGTACATTGAAGGCAAAAAGGCAGGGGAAAAGGACGAGAGATTAGAGATTTCCTGTCCTTTTCCCCTGCCTTTTTGCCTTCGGAGGTCTGCAAGGGCTTCCTCTGATGTCAGGGGAAAGCCCTTGGAGACCTCCTGGGGGTCCGATCACAGCAGCGGGGGACCCCCAGGAGGTCTCTGATGGCTTCCTCCAAGCCATCGGAGACCTCCTGGGCCTCCCCCGTTCACTCCATAAGACACATACACGCTATCCCCAACTTTTTTGGAGGAAAAAGTGTGTCTTATGTAGTGAAAAATATGGTTTAAATGTTTCTGCTAAAAGAATGAGCTGCCACAAAGCTAAATTTATTAGGATAGTTGTATCCTGCCATATTTCTTGAGGTGACAGGGTGTGATATAGACAATAAAGCAATACAGTATGGCACAATTAAAAGCAATTTAAAACAGTTTAATAGGATGAAACAACATCGAAAGAACCACAAACCAGCAGCTCAGAACAAAGTCATTTGACCTCAGAGAGTGGAGTGAGGAGAGAGACGTGTATTAACTTAATTGGCCGATCAAATGGACTTGAACAAGAGAATGTTTCACCACCAGGGCGCCAAGGAAGAGAAGGCCCTGCATAAAATCCAGTAGTAGCCTGCTTGTGTGAATGAACCAGTGGGGGACACTTTTTAAGAACAGAAATTGCATGCTATACTGGCTGTGGGATTGTGAAACTTTTAGTCCAAAAAAGTACTTATTCCCAACAAGTACTAGTAGTGTGCGAGTACAGCTCCCAGAAATTCTGGCCAGCACAGCTACCAGTGAAGGCTTCTGGGAATTTTAGTCCAAGAATATCTGGGGACCCAAATTTGGGAACCACTGATGTAGAGGTTCACAGAAAACAGTAATGTACTAAGCAAGAAAAGAAGAATGTTATGAACAACAGAAAAATACTAGTGGCATCAGTGCAGAACCTGTTACTTTAATAAATACAGTGGTGCCCCGCATAGCGACGATAATCTGTTCCGAAAAAATTGTCGCTATGTGGATTCATCGCTATGTGTGGCAAAAAAGCCCATAGGAACGCATTAAAACACATTTAATGCGTTCCTATGGGCAAAAAACTCACCTTTATGTGAAGATCCTCCATGTGGCCGCCATTTTCGCTGCCCGGTAAGTGAGGAAAGGGCGCGAAAACACAGCGGGTGGCCATTTCCTTTACCCGGTGGCCATTTTGGAACCGCCGATCAGCTGTTAAAAAAACCGCTATGTGAAAATCAGTAAGCGAAAGGCTTACCGATCATCACAAAGCGATTTTTTGCTATTAGAAACATCGCAACGTGATCGCTTCTGGCCAGCACAGCTAGTGATTAAGGCTTCTGGGAGTTGTAGTTTAAGAACATCTTTGGGAACCTTGTTGGGAGAAATTCGGCGGCATCATCATCATCATCATCATCATCGTAAAAAAAATAAAAAATAACATCTGGGGACCCAAGGTTGGGAACTACTGGTCTAGAGAGTTCACAGACATTTTGTAGAATAACAGCATTGCATTCTTGCTTATAACTGGAACTTGGAAAAGTTACTTTCTTAGATTCTGATGCACAGCCTCCTACAGCCAGCACTGATGATTATGCTAGCTAGTGAGTGCTGCAAATTGTCCAGAAAAATTGATTTTTACCAAGCTCTGTTCCTAACCCCAACGGTTTCTTTCTCATTCACAGTTGTATTTTTTTAAATGTCTTTTTCTAGGGAGCATTTCCCGGGAACCTGCAGTTGGTGTTTGTCCTGCGACCATCCCGTTTCATCCAAAGGGCAATCGCTGACATTGGCATCAAACTATATCGCGATGACTTTAAAATGAAGGTACCGGTAAGCACTTTTTGTTGTTGCAGCCAGCGTTCTTTTGCGGTTCTTGCATGTTTCTCTTTCGAAACCCGTCGGCACAGTTTGTTTTCCTCTCTTTCCTCTCCACTCTTGTACCAATCAGAGCTAAATAATCTGTTGGGAAAAAATAGCCTTCTTTGATTGCTTTTGTCCCATGTAGGGCTCAGGTACTGAATGACTAAGGGAGGAGAACTAGGAAAGGCAAATATTGGCAGTGCCTTGGTGTCTTGTATTTTTGAATATTCTCTGTATGTTTTTTAAAAAGCTGACACATGAATGAAAAGGGATTAGTGCACCTAGCTGTCTGGTAACAGTTTTTTTTTTACATGCTGGGAATATTCAACGGCACTACATGCACAGGCATTCACAAACACATCCAAAAGAAGACTTGCACTCAAAATGGCCCTCTCCACTTCTTTCCTTCCTTCCTTCCTTCCTTCCTTCAACTCATATGCCTCGCACACTACCCAAAGGTCTCTGGGTGGCTTACAACAATTTGAATACAATAAAAAAGATAAAAGGATAAAACAATTAAAATACAATTAAAAATACAGTGCTCTAAAAATTGCCATCAGGACCCACAGTTGATGTTATTTCAGTTAAAAACCTTCTGGAACAGGGAGGTTTTGACCTGGCGCCAAAATGTCATTAGCGTCGGTGCCAGACGAATCTCCCTTGGAAGGGCATTCCATAATCTGGGGGCAGC